TTCATAACCCTTTTATCGATCGCGTTAAAATTTTGCACACTTATTTGGACTATTATGGCGTATTATTTCTTAAAGCTTTAGTCAGATCGATATACTGGGTGATAGTTTTCTCCGGTTACCTCTCCCTTTTAGCGGTCAAAACTTTTATACTGATCGTATTTTAAAAAAATAGGCAGCAACATTGAAAAGGTCGTGTACGTTTCGGTTTGCGTAGCAATGTCACGGATTTAAAACTTTGAGTTCAGTAGGCGAAAATAAAACGACCTTTTACATAATTAATCAAGACAATAATATTGACATAAATCATTTGCCTCTATAGGGCAGTATTGCTAATTCCGAATTTTTCCGAGCGTAGTTAAAATAAAAAGTTGTACCCAAGTTTTCACTATACATATTCCTTTTTTTTTAATAAATATAGTAAATTTTCACAAATTAAAATATGTTAGTGATGAATAGAATCATTGAAAGTATTTTGCTTTTACGGTAATGCATACAGATTTTGGACAGACTTAATCTAGCCGATGATTATTATCATTAGGTACATATGATCTAACATCTTGAAATGGAATATAAAAATAGGACTTTCACAAGATGTATGAATATGGGAAAAATTACTTCACCAACGCCTCAGCTCTTGTAGAGACAAACTTACCAAGATGGAATTTTAATATTATTGTTAACACTTTACTATTTACTCTTTCCTCTTTAATGTTACGGAGGACAACCTTAATTTCTGGATCACCACCAACTATTTAAAAATTTGACAAATAAATTTTGTAGCAAACTATATAATGTGCAATTTTACTTATTTATCGTTAATACCGATTTCATATTTGAGCATATTTAGAAAAGTATAATGTAAAATAGGAGCTATAATGTAGATTTTAGGTATTATAACATTAAAGGTTGCAAAATAACTGATAAACATTGAGCAGTAATATCCTGTAAGAAAAATTAAACATAACGGAAGTTCCATTGAACTCTTTCTTTAATGTAGATAACAAGTTTTCTTTAAAAATGTAAACCAGCAAAAAAGATGTGTAGGTTTATTATTAATTATTGTTAGGTACAAGACTGAAAAATATTCTAGTCATTTTTGATTGAAAATACGAACTGATACGAATAAAATACACATTTCCCTTTAAAATGAGGCGACACCATTTTCGTCAATACGTTTCCTAAAACTCTCCTTTGGATCATGTCCAACTTTTATTTTCCCCTTTGCTGTTAGATACGTCCCGATGGAATGAATTCCACTAAAGTGACACTCGAACGTCTACTAGAGTAAAATTTTAGAGTGTTAGAATATTCGGAATTCCATCCAAATTGTCATTTTATGTGTGATATCTTTATAAAAGGTTTTCCTATATGGTATCTATTCTGTTTGTGCTTGTAACCATGAAACTGTCTTTGTCAACATACTAATAATCGATATGTCCATTCTTTACCTTAAAAATGCTTGGAAATGTTGATAAAGTCTAAAGGGATTACTGATTGTCGATTTTATGTTGTATTGACTTTGATAATACTATTGGGTGTCCAAAAATAAATTGAGCTCGTAGCAGAGTTCTATGAACTTGACATGCGAAATTTTAATTTCGACCCAAAAATTGTTGTCTAATGAGGCATTTGTGTGAACTAAATTTGGGCTCCTCATAAAGTACATTATGAAAAAATTGTTAAATTTAGAACACCATCTTGTATCTTGTACACGGGACGTATATTTATATGAATGAAGGTTAAAAACTTCTTGAATTAGAACCGTTTTAATAAAAGTTAGTTTGGTAAAATTACAAGCATTTTTCAAAAAATGTGTCTATTTCCTTCAAAATCTACATGGATATCTGGGTATAGGGTTATTATGCAGAAATGAACATTGCATTCTAAAGTAACAGAGACCTATTCTCCGCTTTCTCATGATAGGCAGACAAAGATTCGATTATCTAGTGGTTGCTTATGTCTTTATATTACATGAAATTATAGGGCCCGTTTTGACTTCATTTAAATCCTAGAAAAATTCAAATAAACGCTCGTTGGTGAAGGTTCTAGAAGATGCCGCTCTAGGAACCCCAGAATTTCGATATAAGATTCTTGCTTTTCAAAAAATTTCATTCAATTAATTCGAAAGGCTAGTAATTTTCGAGATTTTTTGCCACAATATACTTATCACATAGTCAAATAAATACATCGAAATTAATTGTAAAATTGTTCTCCACGTGTTCACTTAAAAAAAGAAACAAATTGGAATTTGTATTGTGAATATAATTTTTTAAAATAATGTAATAAATAAAAGACGGAAAATTTAGTGGACCAAATTTTCAGTAAATAGTGAAAACAAACGATTTAACTTGAATCCATATTGGAATAGATAGACCTTGAACATGACCTTGAAGGTCATTTAGAGGTCAAGTTGAAAATTTTAAATGGAACCATATACTTTTTACCCCGGAAATGGAAAAAATAGAAATTTTTACGTTCGGATATGACTTTGAAGGTCATTTAGAGGTCAAGTTGAAAATTAGTAATTTCATTTTGTAATACATTTAGTATAATTTTAATTTAATTTTTTTCTGAGTAATTTAACTATAACTTGGATTGTAAGTATTCATTTATAAATTCATTGAAAATCATTTAGAACTATTTTTCAATTCCATTGGACTAAAAAGGAATTATTGTGGTCTGTCTAAAATAATGTTTCAACTAAATGTGACACCACCGGAGAATAGAATTCATATTAGTCCAGGCGGTATCAGTTTCGGGTTGGGTAAAACGCATATGATGGGAGATTTCTGCTTTAACGGCTTCTAAATAACATCAGAAATGATAATATTTCTATGCAAATAAAAAAAACGTGGGCTTAATTGTTATTGCAAAAATGTATAAAAAAATAGCAAAAATATTCATTTTTTTCTTGGATTTCTCGTCGACAACTTAGCAACTATTTATTTTAGACAAAAATTAAAAAGGAAAAAAAGTTTTGTAACTAAATTCTGATCAAGACAGAGTTAGTTGCAATTCGAAAAAATAATAATTGTTTTTGCAAAAATCGGAAAAATCATTTAAAAAATTGCAAAAAATGCTTGTTTTTAAGTAAACGAAAAAATTAAAATTATAATTATTCACAATTTATTTTTTTTTAATTTATCGTACAACTAAAAATTAATACCAATATTCAGTTGTTTATTTAAATAATTATTGTTTAAACAATTTTATAATATTTAAACAAACTTACTAGTATTACCTGGTGCAACGTGAAAAAATTTTGGTCGAGAATATTAACATAGTAAATAAATAAACATAATAAATTAATCATTTTTTAAAGTAACTGTTTATCGGCATGTCAAAAGTCCAATAATTAATAATAAAAGGTAGTTGAAAATATAATAATTGAATTTTTTAAGTTGCCAGACATCGATTTAAAAAAAATCATCGAATGGTCCATTAGAAGCTCAGATAAGTGAAATTTTTCCGAGCGTCACAGTTTTGAACTCGAGAATTCAGATCGGAGTAGCTGTGTGTTTGCTCCCCCCACCACTGATACTTCATTGATTTCACACGGTCTTGAATATCTTTAAGTAACATTTTAAATGGGACGCCCGTGATTGCTAATTTTGTAAATTTATATCTGGAAAGTACTCGGAATGACAAACCTAGTAGTTCAAAAAACAGCCCTTATACTCTTATAGTTTTGCTGTAAATAAGGGTTAACTTTAACGGGCTATAACTCCGAGAATAATGGGAGGATCATCAGTTTTTTTTTAAATGCTCATCTTTCCGAGTACTTTCAACCATATGTTAAAATAAAAAATAATTGAAAAAAACATTAAATTATTGCAATTGTTTATAAGCGTGAAAATTGCGAAAATGTTTAAACAATCACCACGGCTCACCCAATTGTCCGATTTGAATTTTTCAAAAACCATTTTAAAGCTTGACAGCTCTTCTTTCTGTGGTGAAATTTCATTTTGAAAATTTTTTAATTTAAAAAAAAATTAAATAATTAGGTATTATTTAAAAACTATCGAACCGAATTGTATGAAATTTGGTGTGATGATTCTATGCACTAAGAAGTTTAATTGGGAAAAGTATGAAGATCGTAGGTATTATTCAAGTGTTTGAAAACATTGACAAATAAACTAGCATTTTTTGCAATTTTTTAAATGATTTTTCCGATTTTCGCAATAACAATAATTATTTTTTCGAATTGCAACTAACTCTATCTTGATCAAAATTTAATTACAAAACTTTTTTCCTCTTCCAATTTTGTCTAAAATGAATAGTTGCTAAGTTGACGACGAGAAATCGAAAAAAAAATGAATATTTTTGCTATTTTTTTATACTTTTTTGCAATAACAATTAAGCGCACGTTTTTTTTTATTTGCATAGAAAAAATATCATTTCTGATGTTATTTAGAAGCGATTAAAGCAAAAATCTCCGATCATATGCTTTTTACCCAAGTATACCCTTTTCAAAACAGATACCGCCTGGACTATATCGGATGTCGACCATACTGAGAAGCTACTTTTGTTTACATGCTGAAACTTCATTTTATCCCCTGTCGGTTTTTATCTCTTAGACCAGCAGGATGTACCTAGCATCCTCTACGGGTGGGCTCAAAATGGATACTATTTTTGAAATTTTTGTACTCCTAGTTTGACTTGGGATCTAAAAGGAGGGTTTTATTACGATATAGGTATTTACTTTAATTTAATGGTACTAAGTCACCTAATTCAAATAAATTCAAAAATGTTCCTAAAAATGTTATAATGAATTTATTTTACTTTAACAGTTTTAAAATAAAGTAAAAATACGAGAGCTAATAAAGAGTTGGATATTTAAAAAGAAAAGAATTTCCTTAAGGTATATTTGAAAGAATTTTCCATTAAGTGGCATTCTCATTGAAAAATCCTCTATATTTGGCGTTATTAGTGCTCAATGCTGGAATTACTCAAGCTAACGTACAGACATACAGACACACATTTATACACTAGAGTCGTACTTTCCGGCAGGGAGATGGAGCGATGTCCTGGCGAGCCGTGCCTGGAGCGAGACCCGAAGCCGGTGAGGCTTTTCATTCCTGCGAAAAGCCGCCGCCTCATGGAGGAAGTTTCAGTGTTGACGGAGGGTCCTTGTCTATTGTCTGCATTAATTATACAGGGAGGTCAAATTTTAATGGCTTACGTAAGTTCTTAAGGGTCGTCGAAGGTGCGGAAAAGTTAAATTAGCAAAGTTTTGTTGATCTATCGCCCCTGGCAGTGGCACACTTTAATTCTCGAGATGGACTTTTTGCGATGTGATTCGAGAACTACGCTGAGGATCCGTTCAAGCGATTGAACTCAATTTACAGGTATTTTATATGATTTAGTAAATTTTCTCTAAATATTTTTAAAATAATTGTCGTGTTACTTACAAAAAAAAACATCAATGCTACCTTATAGTTAGGAGAAAGGTAAAAGTGTCGTAAATACTAAGTATGAATCAATATGTGACCAAATTCCTTAAAAATAGTTCAATTCAAATAATTTTGTTTATGTTTTATTGCAATTTGATTGATATACAAAGTGTCTCGCGAGACAGTCAATAAATTTTAAAGAGACATCCTTTAGGTAAAAATAAGCAGAAAGGTTTATATAAAACAGGTCCAACATGTGGGCGCCGTTTTCGAGATATGGACTTTAAAATTTTAGAGAAAAATAATTAAATGCTTCAAAATTTTATAGGATAATACCTACATACAGGGTGTTTCAGAAAGATCTCCCGTAAATTCCGGGGGTGATAGTACGACAAAAAATAAGAATTTTTTGCCTTATGAACTATGTATATGTCTATTTCCTCTTATTTTCGAGATACATAGCGACAAATAACACAGATCAACATTTGATCTAAGCGGGAGCACCGTAATCGGTATAGGCTACTAGGGGTTTTTGGGGTCGCTGATTACGATGAGAGGGTCAGTTAACCTCCATCACGTCAGGTTCAAGGAAAAGCCATGGAAAAGTCTGAAAAAAAATCATGGATACGTTTTTGAGGTCGAGGAATTCGAATCTGAGGTCAGCTAAGGTCAAGGTCAAGGTTATTTAGAGGTGAAATGCAGAAAAAGACATGATAAAATGTGAAAAAATCATACTTATGTTTTTGGGGCCAGGAAATCTGAATCTGAGGTCTTTGAAGTTCCAAAAGGTCAAGCTTAAGGGATGAAGTAATTTTTGAAAAAATCTGAAAAAATGATGCTGGATTAAGATGAATCCAGTTACCGATAACTTTAATCAATCGGTGTATCCCTCTTCCATTAGGTGATTCTTTTCATCCTATTTGCCATAGATTCATGGTCTTTTCTGTTTTTCCTAGGATATCTCCATTTTGATAGTTTGGTTGCTTTCAACGGAAATTGTTTGTTATTTCTTTTACTAGTAGCTATATAGATGCCTCTTCTGCTAGTAAGCATGTAACCTCATACGAGATAGAACGGTAGCCACATATAACGCGCAGAAAATGTTCTTCGATATACTGATTTTATGGTATTATTGTCGGATCAGTGATATGTAACTGAATAAGCGCGATGATTCAAGCGAAAGTGCGTGAAATGAGTATAAATCTTGTAGAACAGTTGCTTATATATGCAAATATATAGATACAAGAAAGAAGTAACGGTTTATATAAAAAAAACATGAAGAATAACAAGTAAAAAATGTTATCGGTTAAAAATTTTCTTTTGAACTTGACCTTCTAATACCTTGACCTTGACCTTGTGGAGCTTAGCTGACCTCAGATTTGGATTCTCCGACATCAAAAACATATCCATGATTTTTTCAGATTTTTTTCATGGCTTTTTTTGCATTTGACCTCCAAATGACCTTGACCTTGACCTTGTGGAGCTTAGCTGACCTCAGATTCGGATTGTTCGACCTCAAAAACATATCCATGATTTTTTCAGATTTTTGATTTTTCATGGCTTTTTCTGCATTTGACCTTCAAATGACCTTGAACCTGACGTGATAGAGGTTAACTGACCCTCTCATCGTAATCAGCGACCACAAAAACCCCTAGTAGTCTATACCGATTAGATCAAATGTTGACCTGTGTAATTAGAATTTTTACGAAAATTTCCAAACGGTGCGAAATATTTTTATGAAATTTGGTATTCCGGAGTTTTTAAGGACGCCAAATACGCTGGTCTAATTATTTTTTCGATATTTCATAGAGGGCGCTAGTTACGCTACATTCCTATTACATTTTAGGTTCCAATTTTTTTAAGGTTAGGTTTTTTACCATTCGGGCTCTAATTTATAATGTACAATTTTATTTTCTAAAAATAATGTACTCTTGTTAGAACTTCCTAATGTGGACGGTTTTCGAGAAAAAAGGCTTTTAATTGAACTCTTTCAATATTACAGTGAAGAAAATAAGTGTGTTTTGTCAAAGTAGGCTTATGTCAAAACTTATTGTTGGATATCTCATAAACAACGCATACATTTTCAGTAATATTTTAAACTCTAATTAACTTTATATCAAAATTTTAGTGATTGTTAGTGACTGTAGTTAGTAATGACTAATTAGTCACTAAAATTTTGATATAAAGGTAATTAGCGTTTAAAATATTACTGAGAATGTATGCATTGTGTATGAGACATCCATCAATAAGTTTTGACAAAAGCCTACTTTGAGAAAAGTCACCTATTTTCTACACCGTAATATTGTAAGAGTTCAATTAAAACCTTTTTTCTCGAAAACCGTCCACATTAGGAAGTTCCAACAAGAGTACATTATTTTTAGAAAATAAAATTGTACATTAGAAATTGGAGACCGAAACGAGCCCAAAAAACCTAACCTCAAAAAAATTAGAACTTAAATGTAATACGAATGTAGCATAACTAGCGCCCTCTATAAAATGTACAAAAAATAATTAGACCAGCGTATTTGGCATCCTTAAAAATCCCGGAATATCAAATTTCATAAAAATATTTCGCATCGTTTAGAAATTTTCGTTTTAAAAAATTTTATTTTGTGGCTCTGTATTTCGAAAACAAGAGGAGATAGACATATAGTTCATAAGACAAAAAATTCTTATTTTTTGTCGTACTATCACCCCCTGAATTTACGGGAGATCTTTCTGAAACATCCTGTATAGTACTTGCAGTACCTACAATGCTGGTAAAAATATGTATAAATACTTTGTTAAAGCAACAAATTTACCAAAAAACATACTCTGGATAAATATTAGCTTTTTTAGATTTTGTAGTAAATAATATAACGCAACACTATAAATTTATTACTTAAACTACAGTTTTTCAAACACATTTTAAGTAATAGACAAATACATATAAAAACAAAGAAATCTGAACGATGTCGAAACATAAAAGTATTAGCAAATAAACATGAATTAAACATAAAAGATAATATTTATGTCAACATACTCCATTACTGTTATTAGTACGACCAAATTAATAACAGAACGGTACACTTTTCCTTAAAAAAACTACACTTCTTCCTATTTGAAAATTACTCCTTCTAATTTAATTTGAAAGTTCTTTAGACATAACATTCTAAAGTTTCTATTAAACCGACATTCTTTGTAATTGTCTAACAAGTTATCGACTTATAACCCAGTATTACGAAGTACTTATAGTATTAGTATTGACAATATATTAAATATTCCCAGTAAATCAAAAAAATTAACTTGGGTATACAGGGTGTTAATGAACTTGTGTCAAAAATTTAAAGGGGTGAAAAAGAACAAAAACTCAGTTAACTGATGTCACAAACTTGTATCGGAAGTTTAGGGTCATAGAGAAAAAAGCTAATTAAAAATGTGTTTAAAACTGTTTTGGAACTGCTGAAATACATGTATTTTATCGCGGCGAGTACTTACAAAAAATTCTGTAACACTTCTTACGAGTTTGTAGGTTTCTTATGAAGCCGGACTGTATTCGAAAGTCGGTTTGTAATACATTGTTTTAGTGATTGCTGTGGTATTTTTTCGAGAGTACATTTAGTAGTCGTACTTCCAAAGTTTCTTTTGAAAATGGCGCCTTTATTTGCGTGTCGGTGTCTATCGTACTGCTCAATCTAGAAATGGATAATATTAACACAGTATGTCCCATTTCTCACATATTTTGTTTTTTTTAACTAAAAATTGTGTTGACACTATTTCTTTCTTAAAATTTTAAGTTAATTCAAAATTTAACATCAAACTAATTTCATTAAAAAATAATTTTGAATTCGCACTATTATTTTTTACTGTGTATGAACTACCAATTTTCACCTAAAAAAGGATGCTATACAGGATGTTATACAACAATTCCTTACGAAATGAAGGGGCATTTTCTACTATACTTTCTTTCTTACATTTGCTCTTCCACCTTTTGTTTTTAAGATACACGATGTTGAAATAAAAAAAAATATGCAATTCCAAGTATTTTTAAAACAAATGCAGATATTTAAATGATATTTTGTTTATATATTACATTGTATATACACGATTATAATGGTATTTAATGCGAAAATCTTGCTACCGACCAAAGTTGGAGAAAATTAAATTTCGGATGATCATCTTTAGCCAAAAGTTGAAAATAAACAATAAAAACAAGAAACTTCCCTCAAAATTTTAAAAATAAAATTGTGGCATCGAATTAATGCAATTTTAGCGAAACTTTTGTACATAGCGACTAGGCAACACAAATTTGTGTGATAACATTTTTATCCATTAAAATAACCATCAGTAACCTCAAATTAGCCACATCTTACTGATATCTAAAAATAGGTTTAGATGAACAATTAACATGAATTTGTGTTAGGGCTTATATTATATTTTTCTAGAATAATAATATTTGATATCGATCCAAAATCAGTTTGGTTTGTCCTTAACTTGGATGTATTAGCTGCATTATATATAGCTAAACAAATTTTATACAATAACGTTACCTTGTTACTTCATAATATGGTGGATAACGACGAATAAAATGCAAACTACCACTAACATTTTATGCCTTTCTTGTCTCTCTATAAAACAGTTAATTTCATTGCAGCGATATATACCTACGTAAAAGTCAAATGAGACTTTAAAATATATTAAAACTTTGCTAATTTAACAATCAATTTCCTTGGACGATAAAAAGTGGGTACGGATATATTTGATCTTCC